CCCAGTTAGGCCACATGGGATTCAGGGACTCACTTGAGGAGGCAGTCTGTCTGTTTTCAGAGCTCAAACACTGTGCTGGGAAAATCATTGCTGTCTTCAAACTGTCAGACAGGGACATTTAAGTCTGCAAAAGATTCTGCTGCCGTTTGTTTAGCAATGCCCTGCCCCCAGAGGTGGAGTCTACAGAGGCAGGCCGGCCTCATCGAGCTGTGGTGGGCTCCACCCAGTTCGAGCTTCCTGGCTGCTTTGTTTACTTACTGAAGCCTCAGCAATGGCGGATGCCCCTCCCCCAGCCAGGCTTCCACCTTGCAGTCTGATCTCAGGCTGCTGTGCTAGCAGTGAGCAAGGCTCCATAGGCGTGGGACCTGCTGAACGAGGCACAGGATATAATTTCCTGATGTGCCCTTTGCTAACACCATTGGAGAAGTGCAGTATTTGGGCGGCATTGCCCCAATTTTCCCGGTACAGTCTCTCATGGCTTCCCTCGGCTAGAAAAGGGAAATCCCCCAACCCCTTGTTCTTCCTAGATGAGGTGATGCCCTACCCTGTTTTGGCTTGCCCTACATGGGCTGCACCCACTGTCCAACCAGTCCCAATGAGATGAACCAAGTACCTCAGTTGGAAACGCAGAAATCACCCATCTTCTCCGTTGATCACCCTGGGAGCCATAGACTGGAGCTCCTATTCAGCCATCTTGGAATTGGGGGGCCTCTATTTTTATTATTTTTTATCTTTAGATATCAGCAGTCTGATTGTAAAGTTTATATGGAGAGGCCAAAAAACCCAGAACAGCCAATGTTAAGGAGAACAAAGTCAAATGATTAACCTTACCCAATTCAACTTCAAGACTTATTTTGAAGCTACAGTAATCAATAGAGTGTGCCATTGTTGAAAAAATAGCCAGATAGATTAATGCAAATGAGTAAAGAGCCTAAAATAGATAATCAGAAATACAGCCAAGTGATCTTTGAAAAAAAGCAAAGGCAAGTCAATGGGAAAAAATAGTCTTTTCCACAAAGACTAATGGAGTAACTGGAGATTCACATACAGAAAAATGAATCTGGAAATAAACCTTACATCTTTAATGAAAGTTAACTTCTAAATATAAAATGCAAAACTATGAAACTCTGATAACATAAGGTAGGAGAAAATAAATTACCTTGATCTGGCAATGGTTTTTAAAATACTACAGTGAAGGTACAATCCATGAAATAAAGAATAACTAAGCTGGCCTTTATTAAAATTTAAAATTTCTGCTCCACAAAAGACACTATCAAGGGGATGAGATGACAAGACACAGATTGGGACAAATATTTTCAAAAGATATATCTGATAAATGACAGCTATCTAAAATTTTTTAAAACTCAACGATTAGAATTCAGACACCTTGATTAAAAAAATGGGCAACTGAGCTGAACAGATACCTCACCCAAGAAGACATACAGGTGACAAATAAATATATGAAAAGTTCTCATCATTAAATGTCATTAGAGACCTGCAAATTAAAACCCCAATGAGACACTATTACACACTTATACAATGGCTAAAATTCAAAACACTGAAAGAACCAAATGCTGACAAGGATGTGCAGCGATGAGAACTATTAGTCATAGTTCTCATTGGAAATGAGAAATGGTACCGACACTTCACGAGACAGTTGGGCAGTGTCTAATAAACCTAAGTATGTTTACTATGTTATCTAGTAGTTGTGCTCCTTGGCATTTGCCAAATGAATTGAAAATATATTTCCACACAAAAATGTGCACATGGATATTTATAGCAGTTTTATTCATCATTGTCAAAAATTAGAAATCAACAAGATGTTCTTCAATAGATAAATGAATAATCAACGTGGTAAGCCTATACAATGAATGTTATTTAGTGTTAAAAAAAATGAACTATCAAGACTTGAAAAGATATGGAGAAACTTTATACATATTAGTAAGTTAAATCTTAAAAGGCTACCTACTGTATGATTCCAAACACATGACATTCTGGAAAAGGCAAAACTATGCCGACACTGTAAAGATTATTTGTTGCTAGGGCTCACAAGGAAGAGAGGGTGAACCGGTAGAGCACAGAGGGTTTTAAGGTCAGTAAAGCTGTTTTATATGATATTACAATGGTGGATAAATGTCATTATGCATTAGTCAAATACAATAGAATGTACAACACAAAGAATGAACCCCACATAACCTATGAGCTTTGGTTGATGATGATGTGTCAATGTTGGTTCATTGATTGTAACCCATGAGAGTTCTTAATTGTGAGAGAGGCTGTGTATGGGTGCAGGGAAAGAGGCATTGGTAATTATATACTTTCCACTTAGTGTTGCTGGAAACCCCAAACTGCTGTTAAGAAATGCATTTTTCTAAAGCCTACTCTAACCCACCATTCTTGTCAAGCTGAAGTTTGTATTACTCAGTGACTGTGGAGGGCTTAATATTGATACTCCCCTGATCATTTGGACTGAGATGTGAATTCTATGAGATGGGATATGACATGTCACTGAACTGGGAATTGAAAAACTGGGATTCTAAGTCTTATACTGAGGCATTGTGATACTGTCTCACTGAGTCAAAAATTGCTCATTTCTAAAAAACAAAACAAACCCTGTTTAGAATAGTTGATCTCAGAGATCCCTTATGTCTTCAAATTATCTATAATTCTTTCATTCTATAAACTGAAAGGTCTAAGGAGAAGCCTCAGCTCAGCAGAAGAGAGGAGGAGCAGAGCTGGGACACCTAGCTCTCAAGGAATGAAATGATTATTCTAAAGAGAGCAACTGACATTATTTTACCTAAAATAAGGTAGTATATTTCTGTTAGGGTTCAGAGTTACGTGAGTCAGGGACCAAGTTGTTGCTTTTCTTTACTCTGTATAAAGGTTTCTCCAAGGCCCTTGACTTACCCAAGTACTAAAGGTTATAAAACCAAACTCTTCTGACCCCCAATCTAGTCAATTTGGGCTGTAATTATTAATGAAATTAATGTTTATTTTGAAAATCATTTACTAGACTGAATCACAAAATACTGAACCTTAGTACATAATCAGTAAATATCTGTGGACTCAATTGAACTGAATGTTTTGCTTGAAATGTAACCTTCAAGATGCAGGGCTTATGGGTTCTTGTCTCAGCTCTAGCAGCAGCAGACACCATGTTCTTGGCTACGGTACTGAATCTTCAAGGCTCAGCCTCCTCATTCCTGAAATGGGTCAATTTTATTGTAAGCAAAGGTAATTGAGAGATTCCCAAGGGACATGAGGTGTGCGAGTTCTCTGTAAATTTTTAGAATCCCTGTTAAAAATGACCAGTAAAACATTGTGCAATTGTGTCTTAACATAACTTAAGTTTTCTTTTTTTTTTTTTTTTGAGACGGAGTCTCGCTCTGTCGCCCAGGCTGGAGTACAGTGGCCAGATCTCAGCTCACTGCAAGCTCCGCCTCCCGGGTTCACGCCATTCTCCTGCCTCAGCCTCCGGAGTAGCTGGGACTACAGGCGCCCGCCACCTCCCCGGCTAGTTTTTTTTTGTATTTTTTAGTAAAGACGGGTTTCACCGTGTTAGCCAGGATGGTCTCGATCTCCTGACCTCATGATCCGCCCGTCTGGGCCTCCCAAAGTGCTGGGATTACAGGCTTGAGCCACCGCGCCCGGCCAACTTAAGTTTTCTTAATAAGACAACTAGAAATAACCTCACTAGGGAATTTAGAACAAATATGATGATATCTTCAAAGAAAATGGCTTTGCATAAGTATTGTCATTAGTGATCTAGTAAAGTGTATCTTTCTAGTTGTATTTAGGCCCTCAACTCAAAATGTCAGTTCCCATTAAGGTCAGTGGTTTTGTGCTATGAGTCCATTTAGTGATTTCCCTACCTCCCACCCTCTATTAGATTCACAGCTGTTGTTCTGTCCATAATTTTCTAGGCTTGCTTTGCTTTTTTACATTATTTTTGAAAATGAGAGACCAAAAACAATAGAAAGCAGCCATGTCTGGAGGTGACCGGGAGGTCAAGAAGCCTTAGTTTCTCAAGCCCTTAGCACCAAATTCTCCGAGATCAGCGGTTCCCTCAGTTACACTGAGGTTTCACCTCTGCAGTGATGGAGAAGGGAGAACTCTTATTTTTTCTCATGAGCATCCCTGGGGCTGTTTTGCTTAGATAAATAAGGGGTTCTATTTAATGTGAATCCTGTTTTATGAACAGAATCAATGTGGTATATATTCAGAATGACTAACGTTTGGAAGTTTGTTTTGTTTTGCTAAAACATAGTTCTGCCAGCTATGAGCTGTGTGGCACCAACAGGTGTCCTGTTCTCCCAGGGTCTCCCTTTTCCCATTTGAAAAATAAAAAATAACAATTCCTGGCTTCATGTGTTTTTTCAGGGGGTTTAATGGTAAGGGTATTTATATCTGCTAAGCTAATTTACTTGATATATGTTTGGTTATTTAAGATATATGAGTTATGTTAGCTATTTCATGTTTAGGCTGCTGTATTTTTAGTAGGCTATATTAAATAGACGATTTCATTATAAAGGACAAAGTCTCCTAATCTTTGATATAGCATTGACATACTTTCAAAATATACAAGGCATAGAATACATCAATTTCCCTCAAAATCATAAATTCCCAACTGGTTATTAATCTAAGAATTCAGAATTTTGAGTAATTTTGAGTAATTTTTGCATCAGATTATTTACTTCAGTGCTTTCAATTATGATGGTGCATTGGAACCACTTGGGTTAACTTATTTATTTATTTATTTTTTAAATTACCAATACCTAGGCTCCAAAGTGGGCACTGGAATGAAGGAGAACAAGACCAAAGGACATTTTATTTTTATCTTTATCAGTGGGTCAAAGTCCTTTCAGAAGGAGCATATGGTGGACCGAGGTGATTGGTCACTTTATACGTCAAAAAGGCACACAGTGAATTAGCATGGAGTGTTATAAAAGGCTTGGAGCGCAACCTCGTGGTTGTCTTAACAAGAAGAGAAGGCTTCAATGGATTCTCTTGTGGTCCTTGTGCTCTGTCTCTCCTGTTTGCTTCTCCTTTCACTCTGGAGACAGAGATCTGGGAGAGGAAAATTCCCTCCTGGCCCCACTCCTCTCCCAGTGATTGGAAATATCCTACAGATAGATATTAAGGACGTCAGCAAATCCTTAACCAACGTAAGTATGCTCCTTCAGTGGCTTGCAAAAGGTAAGTAAATTCACCTGTAGATTTTGAATAAAATATATCCCTAGAGGTACATTGTTACAAGAGATCATTGTAAAGTAAAATACTTTGAAAGGCTTTTGTTGCCTTTTCTCCATCACTGCAGAGGTGAAACCTCAGTGTAACTGAGTCTGTCAGGGTCAGAAATAGTGGAATGCAATCATGTATTTTGTGAGTAGAGAAAGATTTAGGTCTTTGCATGTTAGATTCAAAATAACAAAGTGTCGATAGTTTGAAATGTTGTGTTCCTTCTTTATTTCATAGTCATTTGCTATAATTTTTGGCTGAAGGTAAATGGTAAGGGATGTGTTTGTTATTAGAGATTTTATTATGTAGGTCCTCTACTATATTAGCCATGTATTTTATTCAGAATAGCCATGAAAATTGAACTTTTCTGAAGAAATAATTTATGCCTGTTGCAAAGGACATAGCTGTGGGTTCAGGACCAGCAAAAGCAGATAAGTAGTAGATAGGACGTTATAGACTTCCATTATTGGATCCACAAATTAATGTTTTAATTAAACTATAGCTACAATATATAAACCCCAAAATGACCTTAGGGTTTAGTAATAGTAGGAATAGTGGTAGAAGATGTATAATTATTAGGGTTTTTTTCTCATGTGAAAGATGGTTTAACCGTGTTCATATGATATGTGAATACCCCTCATTGTGTAATAATTAGCACATACAGAAAGTAAAGGGCTGCGATTAGTATAGTATAGTAAACCTTGTAAGCATGCTGGTATGATTAGACCAAGAGAATGAGGTATAGTTATGAAGACTACTACTAGAGTGATGGTAGGGGGCAGGGCAAGGTTGGCAAGGCTAGTTAGGAGTCATCATGTGGCTATCAGGGGGAGAAGTGTTTGAAGGCCCCATGTTATTAGTATGGTTTGGCTGTGTATTTGTTTGTAGTTTGAGTTTGCAAGACAGAATAGTACAGATGAGGTTAGTCCTTGGGCAATTATTAGGGCAGTTGTGCCTGTAAAACTTCAGGTGGTTTGAATGAGAATAGCCATGATAATAAGCGCCATGTGGCTTATGGAGGAGTAAGTAATGAGTAATTTTAGATCAGTTTGGCACAGACAAATAGAGCTTGTTATGATTATTCCTCATAGGGATAATATGAGGGAGGAATAAGCTATAAACTCTGTTAGGGGGTTAAGGATTAAGGTGATTCGTATAATCCCATAGCCACCTAATTTTAGGAGTACTGCTGTGGGGACTATTGATCCAGCAATGGGGACCTCTACGTGGGCTTTTGGGAGTGCTAGGTGGAGTCCATAGAGAGGTGATTTTACTGTAAATGTTATGATGCATGTTAATCATAAAAGGCTATTAGACCAGGAAATTATTAGTTTTTGAAGGGATATTTGTGCTAAGGTAGACATGAGAGTGCTGCTGATAAATTTCTCAAGCATGAGTGTTTGGGTAAGTGGAGTTTCAAATTTGGGTCTTCTGTATATTAGCTGTGGGACACTGCAAATGAATTTATCATTCTCTTAGCTCAGTTTGTTTGTTTAAAGTAGAGTGAATAGACCTGCTGAATATGTTGATGTGAAGATTAATTGTAATCTGTGTAGCAATTGTCTGACCATTGCCTTGCACATCATAGGCCATCTGAGTGGCAAGTATAATAATAATCATCATGTTTATATGTATAATTCAGAAATATTTGAGCCTGTATGACTGAATAAAAGCTTACAAATACAATGAAAATATGAATCTAAGTCAGGCTTAGTAAATGGATGAAATAGTGACTTCATTTGCTGTTACTTGTATCTCCTTTTCTAGCTCTCAAAAGTCTATGGCCCTGTGTTCACTCTGTATTTTGGCCTGGAACGCATGGTGGTGCTGCATGGATATGAAGCAGTGAAGGAAGCCCTGATTGATCTTGGAGAGGAGTTTTCTGGAAGAGGACATTTTCCATTGGCTGACAGAGCTAACAGAGGATTTGGTAGGTGTGCATGTGCCTATTTCAGCATAGGTCATGGGGATGGGGAGGATGGAAAACAGACTAGCAGAGCTTTTCATGAAGAGCTTGGCCCATCCACATGTCTGCCCAGTGTCAGCTTCCTCTTTCTTGTCTGGGATCTCCCTACTAGTTTCTGTTTGTCTTCCTGTTAGGAATCGTTTTCAGCAATGGAAAGAGATGGAAGGAGATCCGGCGTTTTTCCCTCATGACACTGCGGAATTTTGGGATGGGGAAGAGGAGCATTGAGGATCGTGTTCAAGAGGAAGCCCGCTGCCTTGTGGAGGAGTTGAGAAAAACCAAGGGTGGGTGAACCTGTATCACTGTATCACTGACCTTACTGGACTGCTCTCCCCTCTACTGACATTCTTGGAAACATTTCAGGGGTGGCCAGATCTTTTATTATGAGTCCTGGTTGTTAGCTCATGTGAAGCGGGGTTTGAGGCTGAGAGCCAAGGGAATTTGCACATATTTGTGCTGTGTGTGTACAGGCATGATTGTGCATACAGTGTGGGTATAAAAGGTTCATTTAATCCTATGTTCTCCTGAACTTTGCTTCTTTGTTTTCAAATAAGAAATCATGAATATAGGTTTGAGTTCATTTTTTGAAAGAGTTAAAGAGCAGTGTTTTTCCCATTACCTATTCCACAACAAGTCACCAGAGAATACTTGGCAAGTGGACATGGTGGGAATGACCCTATCACACCCCTAGGGAGCATGAACCAAACGGCACATGCTTTTATTTAATTGGACTGTGTTTATATGGTCAGCCTCACTGACTTGTCTGGGGTTTCTTTTAGGCCCCTGCTTGCCGTTCTGGCCAGTAATGACATTCTACAGTTTGTATTGCTTAGGCATATCTTATTGCAGTTCTCATCAATTTTTATTTCTCTGTAAACACAGCATTATTTAAAAAATAGTGTCACTTCTTGTTACTCTATTGATTTATGTATTTTGAGTAAACATATGCTGTAGCATAATTCTGTGACATACACAAATGTCAATTTATAAAATGATTTATTTACCTAGATTTTAATTATTAGTAATAACTCTGTAATCTGTATTCCTTAAGTACAATTTGGCTCCATTTCAGTTTTGGTTATCTTTTTCTAACCATATTTATGAAATTTTGGCTTCGAAACTTATGGTAATTATTATTTTCCACTGCCAACTCTGCTCACCTATGAAGCTTTACAATGAATCGGTTTATCAGCTTGGATACCAAATTACCTTGTTTTTAAATTCTGTTTTCCATATGAAATGAAAGACTGAAAATCAGATTTATCTGTGAATGATACACACACACTCAACAGACTTCCAGCTGTTCAATGCCTTGCTATTCATTCAGAGTACTTTTGATTAAAGTCACTATTTAGGGCTTATGGGTGTGAATTTGGAAGCTGTTTAAGTATAAAGTTTAATATTTCAAAATAATAAGAGCTATGCATAACAAACTCATAGCCAATATCATATCGAATGGGCAAAATCTGGAAGAATTCCTTTTGAAAACCAGAGCAAGACAAAGATGCCCTCTCTCACCACTCCTATTCAACATAGTATTAGAAGTTCTGGCCAGGGCAATCAGGTAAGAGAAAGAAATAAACGGTATTGAAATAGGATGAGAGGAAGTCAAATTGTCTCTGTTTATAGACGACATGATTGTATATTTAGAAAACCCCATTGTTTCAGCTCCAAAACTGTTTAAGCTGATAAGCAACTTTAGCAAAGTCTCAGGAAACAAATTCTATGTGCAAAAATCACAAGCATTCCTATACACCAATAATAGATAAGCAGAGAGCCAAATCATGAGCGAACTCCCATTCACAATTGCTACAAAGAGAATAAAATGCCCTGAAATACAACTTAAAAGGTATGTGAAAGACCTCTTCAGGGAGAACTACAAACCACTGCTCAGGCAATTAAGAGATGATACAATCAAATGGAAAAACATTCCATGCTCATGAATAGTAAGAATAAATATCGTGAAAATGGCCATACTGCCAAAAGTAGTTTATAGATTTAATGCTATTCCCATCAAACTGCCATTGACTTTCTTCACAGAACTAGAAAAAACTACTTTAAATTTCATGCAGAACCAAAAAAGAGCTTGTAAAGCCAAGACAATCCTAAGCAAAATGAACAAAGCTGGAGGTATCACACTACCTGACTTCAAACTATACTACAAGGCTACAGTAACCAAAATAGCATGGTACTGATACCAAAACAGATATATAGACCAATGGAACAGAACAGAGGCCTCAGAAATAAAGTCACACATCTACAACCATCTGATCTTCAACAAACCTGACAAAAACAAGCAATGGGGAAAAGATTCCCTATTTAATAAATGGTGTTGGAAAAACTGGCTAGCCATATGCAGAAAACAGAAACTGGATCCCTTCCTTACATCTTCTTCTTCTTTTTTTTTTTTTAATTATACTTTAAGTTCTATGGTACACGTGCATAATATGCAGGTTTGTTACATATGTATACATGTGCCATGTTGGTGTGCTGCACCCATCAACTCGTCATTTACATTAGGTATATCTCGTAATGCCATCCCTCCCCACCCCCACACCCCACAACAGGCCCTGGTGTGTGATGTTCCGTACACTGTGTCCAAGTGTTTTGACCATTCTGTTCCCACCTACGAGTGAGAACATGTAGTGTTTGGTTTTCTGTCCTTGCAATAGTTTGCTCAGAATGATGGATTCCAGCTTCATCCATGTCCCTACAAAGGACATGAACTCATCCTTTTTTATGGTTGCATAGTATTCCATGGTGTATATGTGCCACATTTTCTTAATCCCATCTATCATTGATGGACATTTGGGTTGGTTCCAAGTTTTTGCTATTGTGAATAGTGCCACAATAAACATACATGTGTATGTGTCTTTATAGCAGCATGATTTATAATCCTTTGGGTATATATCCAGTAATGGGATGGCTGGGTCAAATGGTATTTCTAGTTCTACATCCTTGAGGAATTGCCACACTGTCTTCCACAATGGTTGAACTAGTTTAAAGTCGCACCAACTGTGTAAAAGTGTTCCTATTTCTCCACATCCTCTTCATCACCTGTTGTTTCCTGACTTTTTAGTGATCGCCATTCTAACTGGTGTGAGATAGTATTTCTGGTTTTGTAGTATTTGTGGCATTGTGGTTTTGATTTTCATTTCTCTGATGACCAGTGATGGTGAGCATTTTTCATGTGTCTGTTGGCTGCATAAATGTCTATAAATGTCTTCTTTTGAGAAGTGTCTGTTCATATCCTTTGCCCACTTTTTGATGGAGTTGTTTGATTTTTTCTTGTAAATTTGTTTAAGTTCTTTGTGTATTCTGGATAAAAGCCCTTTGTCAGATGGGTAGATTGTAAAAATTTTCTCCCATTCTGTAGGTTGCCTGTTCACTCTGATGGTAGTTTCTTTTGCTGTGCAGAAGCTTTTTAGTTTACTTAGATCCCATTTGTCAATTTTGGCTTTTGTTGCCATTGCTTTCGGTGTTTTAGTCATGAAGTCCTTGCCCATGCCTATGTCCTGAATGGTATTGCCTAGGTTTTCTTCTAGGGTTTTTAAGGTTTTAGGTCTAACATTTAAGTCTTTAATTCATCTTGAATTAATGTTTGTATAAGGTGTAAGGAAGGAATCCAGTTTCAGCTTTTGCCATATGGCTGGCCAGTTTTCCTAGCACCATTTATTAAATAGGGAATCCTTTCCCCATTTCTTGTTTTTGTCAGGTTTGTTAAAGATCAGATGGTTGTAGATGTGTGGTATTATTTCCGAGAGCTCTATTCGGTTCCATTGGTCTATATCTCTGTTTTGGTACCAGTACCATGCTGTTTTGGTTACTGCAGCCTTGTAGTATAGCTTGAAGTCAGATATCGTGATTCCTCCAGCTTTGTTCTTTTGGCTTAGTATTGTCCTGGCAATGCAGGCTCTTTTTTTTGTTCCATATGAACTTTAAAGTATTTTTTTCCAATTCTGTAAAGAAAGTCATTGATAGCTTGATGGGGATGGCATTGAATCTGTAAATTACCTTGGGAAGTGTGACCATTTTCACAATATTGATTCTTCCTATCCATGAGCATGGAATGTTCTTCCATTTGTTTGTGTCCTCTTTTATTTTGCTGAGTGGTGGTTTGCAGTTCTCCTTGAAGAGGTCCTTCCCATTCCTTGTTAGTTGGATTCCTAGGTATTTTATTTTCTTTGAAGCAATTGTGCATGGGAATTCACTCATGATTTGGCTCTCTGTTTGTCTGTTATTGATGTATAGGAATGTTTGTGATTTTTGCACATTGATTTTGTATCCTGAGACTTTGCTGAAGTTGCTTATCAGCTTAAGGAGATTTTGGGCTGAGACGATGTGGTTTCTAAATATACAATCATGTCATCTGCAAACAGGGACAATTTGACTTTCTCTGTTTCTAACTGAATATCCTTTATTTCTTTCTCCTGCCTTATTGCCCTGGCCAGAAGTTCCAACACTATGTTGAATAGGAGTGGTGAGAGAGGGCATCCCTGTCTTGTGCCAGTTTTTGAATGGAATGCTTCCAGTTTTTGCCCATTCAGTATGATATTGGCTGTGGATTTGTCATAAATAGTTCTTATTATTTTGAGATATGTCCCATCAATACCTAGTTTATTGAGAGTTTTTAGCATGAAATGCTGTTGAATTTTGTCAAAGGCCTTTTCTGCATCTTTTGAGATAATCATGTGGTTTTTGTCTTTGGTTCTGTTTATATGATGGATTGCCTTTATTGATTTGCATATGTTGAACCAGCCTTGCTTCCCAGGGATGAAGTCAACTTGATTGTGGTGGATAAACTTTTGGATGTGCTGCTGGATTAGATTTGTCTGTATTTTTTTGAGGATTTTTGCATTGAGGTTCATCAGGGATATTGGTCTAAAATTCTCTTTTTTTGTTGTGTCTCTGCCAGGCTTTGGTATCAGGATGACATTGGCCTCATAAAATGAGTTAGGGAGGATTCTTCCTTTTTCTATTGATTGGAATAGTTTTGGAAAGAATGGTTCCAGCTCCTCTTTGTGCCTCTGGTAGAATTCAGCTGTGAATCCGTCTGGTCCTGAACTTGTTTTGGTTGGTATGCTATTAATTATTGCCTCAATTTCAGAAGCTGTTATTGGTCTATTCAGGGATTCAATTTCTTCTTGATTTAGTCTTGGGAGGGTGTATGTGTCCAGGAATTTGTCTATTTCTTCTAGATTTTTTAGTTTTTTTTGCGTAGAGGTGTTTATTGTTTTCTCTGATGGTAGTTTGTATTTCTGTGGGATTGGTGGTGATATCCCCT